AATGCCTTTAAGGTCGCTGCCTACTGCCTGCACATGCTTCCAGTTTGACACCTTCGAGCTGCGCCACTGCTACACTTGACACCTGACTTGTGGTGTGATGGACCCTTCTCAAAAGTATCGTGGATGCGAAGGCTAGCATGAAATTACAACAGAAATCATACTTTTTCTCGATGAAATTTGTGACATTTCTTTTATATTTCCATGTATGTTAGCCTTGCATTCAAGACAAATTTAATAAGGGTACATTAACAAGTTGAACGTTCGATTTTAKCCCTAGAGCAGGCGCGCGCTCAAAAACCGCTGATTTACTCTTACAGGAGGCTTTATTTGGGGGGGAGGGGAGGGTGGGGACAGCCATGCCTCACCATCGCCTCTTTTCCAGCAGATTTCAAATGCGTCTTCACCTTATTTCAGGGTCCTCGAGTGAAGTTACTTAATAGTACTCGTCGAATCTATCAAGGAGAGGTTAATGAATTTCATCCGCCACCCCCAGTTGTCTCACAACCACCCACGACAAGACCCGTAGGACGTGCGGCTCGATGGAGTCATCAACCGCCAGACGTTACCACGACAACCATAGCTGGCATGGAGACCACTAATGCAATGCCTTATGGGAATAAAAGAGCGCCTGGCCGAGACACTGACCCAAATAAACAGGTAAAAAGATCTAGGTAAAGATCAAGAGCTGCGTGGTATTTTTAAATGAGCAAAGTTCTCCGGCTTAAACTACCATTTATAGCTCTCAAGGTTGAGTGCGCATCCAACTTGACGGGCCACAAAACTGAAAAACGCAAATTCAGTAAAATTGAGAAGCCAGTTTTATATTTAAAGCGGAGAATAATCGATTTTATGAATTCTTATCGAAAAAGTTCATAGCAATGCATGATAATACTCGTGTTCTGGTATCATGGCCCGTCAAGTYCCTTWAATTTGGATGCGCACGCAACCTTGAGAAAACGGTCTATTTGTAAAATGTTTACTTAGACTGTCCGGCTAGTTCATGACCTTCTCCCATCACTTCAAAACTTCATGAAATTTCTAAATACAATACAAGCAAGATGCGTTTGGTTGATGTATGTTAATATAAAGTAAATTTTGTTTGTACAGCAGTCATGGAAAGCCTGGAGTAGAACCTCMGTTTAAACCACGAGAAAAGGTGAGCAAAGGCTTGATTCACGTCCACCAAAACCATATCTTGTCAATCATCGCGCAGGAAGAAATCTGATCAGGCAGTCCATCGAAAAAAAACATGGCGACCGAAGTCGGAAAAGATATTTTGAATATTTGCTTCGCTAGCTACGTTATGGACTAGCAATACAGTTAAAATTCTACCTGTTTTCATAACGAATACTTATGGGTCAATAACTATGTTCGCCGATAAACAAATGAAACTAGGACCGCCTGATCAACTATGACAATCCTTTGTACGCGATCCCCGAGATCACCTGGCTGTACCATGGACTGTATATCTAATAGGTCTTGTCCTGTTTTGTGTTTTACAGGGAAGACGATTGTCAAAGTTCCAATTATAGATGTTAAAGATTACAGACCGAAGAAATGTGAAGTTCATAAAACGCTATCTGATATGATGATTCAAAATAAATTAATCAGAAATCAGATAGTAATGTTTTCTTACTGTTGTTGAATTTTTCGCAAATTACCGTGTATTATCCTCTCTCCGCAACACGCACACCYCCCCTTTCCCCTCTTCAAGAAAAACTTACCGGTTTGTTCTTCCACTTTTACCTGCTTTTATGTGTTCTTACTGGACTTTGCATGGTGTCCGCTCGCATGTTAATAATAGGGGTGTCCGCTTATGCATTTGCTAGTTTTACTAGTTCGATGGACTACTTTGACGATACGGCGGCTATCTTGGATCGCAAAGTATTATGGAGGAGCAGGCRTAGCTCAGTTGGTTAGTGCGCGACCTTCAGAGCTTGAGGTCCACGGTTCGATCCTTGRGATCTCGGCATCTGTTTCGACTTCTCTCTAATCCGTGTAGCTTCAGCTTTAAATACTCTTAAAACAGAGCACTGATGGCGAGAGGGGGTAAAGTGCGCACTACTGAAGGAACTACCGAAGTTAGATATAGGTACTTAACCTTTACCCTTTACCTTAACCAGGGAGGTGCCTTTACCCATTAAAGAAAGACAAACACACGAAACTATAAATTTTCCGTCATCTTTGTTTTGTCTCCTTGCAAGATCGTTTGAGTAGTTCCCTGGCCACCGGGAATTTAATACAGGAGCGGCGGAACTAGGGGGGGCACGTGCCCCCCACCAAATTTTTTTGGGGGACCTGGCCCCCCCAAAAATATTGGTTCTTATTCATTCTTTTACGGCCGGCGTATGCGTCTGCAATAAAACAAAACATTAGGGACCTTAAGCTGCAGGACGGCAACGTGGGCGACAACGTCGGCAAAATTGAAGCGCTTCAAACTTCTATTGTATTATTATTTCGTGTTTACCTAGTATTTTACTCAATAAGCATCCCCG